AACTTTGTCTTCCAAAATCTCAGTTGAGGTACCGAGGTGAGGCACGGCAGAAAAGTACTACAGGTCGGTGTGGTACATCGCAGTGGTCATATGAAATAGAAAGACCCCGTAGCAGAAGTTCGCATTTGTATTAAAACGATGTTTATCGGGGGCCACAGTTCTTTGGAGATAGCCTCTGCAGACATCTGTGGAGCGTGCACAAGTCGGTCGAAGCAAATAAACGAAAACTCGTGACTCGTGACTGTGATGTTGATTTGCTGGCCGGTCATTCAGAGAAACGCTGAGAGCCCAAGACAAAAGGCCCTCGGAGATCAGTTACGAATAAAAAATGCAAAACGTTGCAGGTGCATGTCTGAACGTGTGTGTGTGTGTGTGTGTGACATCAGTAAAAAATAAAGCATGCAACCAGCAGGAGCGGGGAAGCTTGTGTTCTCCTCTCGGATATCTGTTTAGACTTCAGAGATTAGCGGCGACTACATCAGACTTACATCAAAAGCGTTATCGGCGCACGTGCACCGCAGCGAGGTCGGAATTAGTTACAGCAGACAACGGAGTAGGAGACAGAGCGCCACACTTTCCCGCAACATTTTTTTCCTCATTTTTCATCAACTTTCACCTTTACGTCACGCGTCGTCCAAATTTAGGTATTGTCTATATTTGTGTTTATTTCTTGATTTTTTTTTTAATTGTGCGTATACATTTTTTGTCAGTATTGAGAAAGCTAAAAAAAAAAGTGCAACTACAAAAGGCGCAGGTTGACGTCAACACGCCGCTGTAATCGGATCCTGATTACACGCACACGGTGCTCAGTCCAAACGCTTTGCGTCATGCCCAGAATTACCCTTTGTCTATTTTCACACACACTTTTACACACACGATTATTCAACCAGGTGATGTAAAGTCTGATGTCACAAACAGAAGACACCAGGGTCGGAACCTCGGTAACCTCTGAAAAAAAATAAAAACTTGAAAGGGGACAAAAATGCTGATGTCACAAACAGAAGACACCAGGGAAAAAAATAAACTTGAAAGGGGACAAAAATTTTTCAAAATATATATAATATTTTTTCTTATCTTTATTTATTAAAATTATTTTATCTCGGGGAAATAATCATATCGCAATTACACGATGATATATATTCCAGTGACAGGATCTCAAATATATAGCCATGGATGAAAAAAAAAAAAAAAAAAAAAAATCACAAAAACGAAACTCTGACGTCACAAACAAATAGGAGAAATACATGTTTTTAATTTGAGAGATTTTTTTTTTTAATTTTTTAAAAAAGTCAGTCAAATAAAAGTAAAAGCAACAAGGCTCGAGCTCATTTGCGAAAGACTTAAAAACACGAGTACAATTAGTTTTTTTAAAAAATATTCAGGTTTTTTTTTTTTTTTTTATATATACCGGATTGGAATGTAAATCACTTCCAATTTCAAAGTGAATTCATGCACTCGAACACTTGTTTCATGTTTAAAAACCACATTTACCAGAAACTCGACTCCTAGGATTATATCGCAAATCAAATCGTAACGCATTTCGCCGCAGACTTCTTTCGAATTAATTCTTTTCCTGGCCATAAATCACTTCGCTGACACTATTCTCATCAAACAGCTGCGGAGAAGCGAGAATAGAAAACATAAACAACAACACATTGAAATTGTTCAATAAGGAACGAGAGTTTGCTTCGGCTGTCAGAGCCGATCAGCGTCAGGGGAAAAGCAGCGTAACGGTTGCGTAGGACTTTTCCCACATTATCATATCAAAGCCTGGTGAAGCTGGTGAAGTAATTTCATTATCATAATGTCAACTTCATGTAGGGAGAAGAAATGATTTGTAAGCTCCTCCTCGCGGCTCTGTGTGTCTAACCTGAGGGTGCATTGGTCTGGTCACCATTTCCTGATGGAATGTTGGAAAAAACATCTCCCAGGAGAGAAGAGTAGTTGATGTTCTTCACAGCAGCGTCACCAGCATCCAGCCTCATGTTTAGTTCAAACTGGCAGGAAACACAAGGTTTTTCTTTGTTAGCCTTTTCTTAAGAATTGCAATTTCCACATATGTGCTTCTCTTTTATGCTTTCCACTGCTTGTTCTTATTTCTGAACGAAACAGAAGAAGGAAGGACTTGGAAATGAAATGGTCGCATGCACTAAAAGGAGGAGGTTTCATACAAAAGAACGAGCTGTCTTTTTGATGAAACCTATGGGTGTAGCGGTACAGGAAAGCCACGGTTCAGGACGGACCTGGATGTTGACATCACGGTTTGGTATACGTTCAGTATGAGTCATCCAAAAAAAAAAAAAGTTTAAAAATAAAATTTCTATCAGTATGAGTCATCCAAAAAAAAAAAAGTTTAAAAATTAAATTTCTAAAAAAAAATCTATAATTTTATTTTACATATATATAAAAATATATATAAAAAATCTATAATTTTATTTTACATGTACATATGTAAAATAAAATTATAGATTTTTTTAGAAATTTAATTTTTAATATAATTCTTTTCCTAATATATTTTTATTTTTTTATACGTATATATAAAAAAATCTATAATTTTATTTTACATATGTACATGTAAAATAAAATTATAGATTTTTTATATATATTTTTAT